TGCATCTACAAATCCCCACATATGAATCGATATATAATGAGAGGCTCTGTGTCAGGGGAGAAGTGGGCTTTGCTGAGGCAGACAGGGCACCACATGGGCACTACAACAGGCAGTCACTCTGCAGGGCTGTGAATAATGAAGAATCCCTCGTGGGCGCACTGTCAGGGTCTCAGTGTGCACGGAGATCTCCAGCCTCCTCAGGGGTGGTTTATAGCTGGAGTTGGTGCTGTCTTATCCCAGTGAATCTGTGCTGCGGGTTTGAGGGCAGGTGCAAGGTGGTGATGCCCCCAGTTGGACATGATCTAATGGTTCCCTGCTATTGTGGAGTGAGCAATCTGTGTTGCTCCAGTGAGGTGCTGAAAGGCTGGAACATGTCTAGTAGCTGATCCACTGAACAATAGTGCAATGTTGCAGGACAGGGCAAATTCGGCCCATTTGCTCTGTCCTTTCACAATTGCTGCATGATCTGCTGAACATTGCTATTTTCTGTTCTTACACAGAAAAAAACATTATCATGTGATCTGGGCTCAGACCCAAATTAGGTTCTTTCATTTTTAGACTGTCCCCTGTCTTTCACTGCTCACCCACCTTCTGGTACTGGAACTTTATACAATTCAATCATTTTCTTTTCGCCTGGAGTCAACTCTGCACATATTCACTCAGTTCCAAGGACCATGACTGCTGAGCACTGTCCCTGCTGGCAGTTTGGGTTCATTTGACCTTTTCACCCTGACATGGCGCTGTCTGTCTCAAAATAACTTGAATTAAATTTTACCCTGTTGCCTTCCTGTGACTGCTTACAAGTGGACTGCTTTGGCTCAGTTCACTCAGTTCCATTATGCAGCCAATGCTGTAACACTCAACTCCCACAGCACAGGAAGATCCCGGACTTATTGCCTGCCAACACCCCACCCCTTGATCCATATTTGTTAGCTGGCATTGGTCAGTCTGTTCCAACTGGCCTTAGTGGCCAGGTTATGAAAAGAGAGGGAATCAACTTTGGGTCAGTTGGTAGCTCCGTCACCTCTCAGAAGTTCACTGGTTCAAATCCCACTCCAAACCTACACATCATCCAGACTGACATTTCCATGCGAGGTGGACAAAAGAGATAACGTGGCACATTTTGAGGAAGAGTAGTCTTATCACTTGACCTAGGGGTGGAGAAGTGTTGTCACTTTAACCCAGGGACTGAATTGTTGCTCAGAAGTAGAATGTAATCTTTAGCCTGCTTTGTTTCAGGGCTGTTTATCATCTTCTGGTGTGAAGTGAAGGAAGCCTCTTGCCCAGTTGATTCTGTGCCAATCTCTTATCTCCATCAAATTGTAAACGTAAACTGTCGGTGGTTTTCCACTGGCCAGCAATTGCTGACACATTGCGGTTTTAGATCATTTAGATGTTTCTTGTCTGTCTCTTGTTTACCTGACGGGGGAGGAGACTGGTGAGTTCGGAGTGATTACCATCTGTAACCCGGTCACTGAAGACCCCAAGTGGACCCTGTGCAGTGTGATACTGTTTGCTCATTCATTCATCAAAAGCCATGATCTATCTATGATAGGGTGGCACGGTGGCTCAGTGATTAGCACTGCTGCCTCGTAGCGTCAGGGACCCAAGTTTGATTCCACCCTCAGACGACGTCTGTGTGGAGTTTGCACATTGTCCCTGTGTCTGCGTGGGTTTCCTCCGGGTGCTCCGGTTTCCTTCCACAGTCCAAAGATGTGCAGGGTAGGTGGATTGGCCATGCTAAATTGCCCAGTGTTCAGGAATGTGTAGATTAAGTGGGTTACAGGGGGATGGGTCTGGGTGGGATGCTCTGAGAGTCAGTGTGGACTTGTTGGGCCGAAGGGCCTGTTTCCACACTGTAGGGATTCTATGATCTATCAGGGACATGAACGTAAGAGCTGCCTTAAGGTGTCTGTCAGCCTCTGACACCAACACAACTGGGATATTATCATAGGGGAGACAGCTCTGAGTACTAAACAAATATGTTAACCCATCAAGACTTGCCTTTTGTATAGGAGCAGGAGTCAGCCATTCAGCCTCTGTTCGTTTACTCTGCCTTTCATCTAGATCACGGTGGATCTTCCACCTCAACACCATTTTCCTATGCTGTCCCCATATACGTTGATATTCTTCATATCTGGAAATGTATCACTTCTCACTTGAACCTGCTCAACTATTGAGTTGCCCCAGCCTCTGGGTAGAGAATTTGCCTCCCTCTGAGTGAAGGAATTCCTCCTCGTCTTCATACTAAATTACTTGCCTGTTATTCTAAGACTTTGTCCTCTGGTTTTCAACGGCCACCACAAACCATTTCTCCCCACCCCATCCCAGTAAACCTCAAGCATAGATCCTGTTTGAACCCTGTAAGCATTTTCCTTCTAAACTCCAGAGAATACAAGACCCAGTCTCCTCATGGAATAGTCAAACCATCCCAGGTCTCAGTCTGGCAAATCCCACTCCCTCTCCCTTCTCTTTTATCCCTTTGCAGCTTCCCGCCTACCACTGCGTCTCCAGTAAAATGTGTGTTGAGAATTTAATTTTTTATCCCGTTGGCACTGCTGATGGTGATTGGATTAAACAATCTTGCGATGTGGACATTATTTGCCAATGCTGGTATCTGTTTCCTATCCCTGGTGACCCTGCTAAGCTTTGATATAGCTTTGATATGGCATATTGGGTCACTTCAGACTGGGGATGGAATTGCCCTTGTGTCAGACCCAGGTGAGGATGGCAAGTTTTATTTCCTACTGATCCTGAGGAATTTTGTTCCCAATCAAAATATTTTCGCTGTCTCTTGTAACCAATGCTAGCCATTGACCTCTTATCCCCAAGTCTGACCTGATTGGTGCCCTTGCTTGCAACAGGTACTAGACTCTGGTCAAAGAAGTGTCAGACCTGGCACCTGAAACACAGCACCCCCTCACTGAAAATGAGAGAATTGAAGTTATAGACCACTTTACAGACCATCGGATGTCTCAAAAGACTTTATAGTGAAGTGCTTTTGAGGTTTGGATATTGTTGTAAGGAACACAGCAGCTGGTTAGTGCACAGTAAGCTCCCATAAATACTAATGTGATAATAACCAGAACATCTATTTGAGGTGTTGATTTGAAGAATAAATATTAGCCAGAGCACCAGGGAACACTCCCAGCTCTTCTTCAAATACTGATTTAGGATCTTTCACATCCACTCAAGCAGCAGATAGGGCCTCAGTTTATCAGCTTGCACATCTGACAGTGCCTCTGACAGTGCAGCACTCCCTCAGTACTGCACTGGAGTGTCTGCCTTAATTTTCATGCTGGAATGGGACTTGAATTAAGAACCATCTGGCTTTGATATGGGAGCCCTGCTGCAGGATAAGATGGGGAGCTCCTGTCCATTCGAATTCTAGAAATGTCTGGAGGGAGTTGGTTTATTGTGGGTTTGATGGCAGTAGTAGATTGCCAGGCTTTGGAATCCAGAGACTCTGCACTGAAGAGTGCTATTGGTGGAGGAACATTCCTTCGCGATGTTGAGGTAGGCCTTGTTCATTTTGCAGAGGGTCCTTCCTTAGTTGGAAACTGATTCTAGGATAAAGGCTAGATTGCCTTGAGCAATATTACCTCTTCTTATATGTGTGGCTGTTTTTAAGAGGGGTACTTCCAATAAACTAACACGAACATTTACAGGAAAACCGAAGATGAAAGGAGAGTTTCTGAAGTGTGTCCTGAGGATTTCTGGCTGCACTGCTGCTGAGGAGGAGGAAGGCTCCTTGCAGTGATTTCAGAGCACATTCCTCAAGGATTAGTGAGCTCTCCTCCACATTAGGCTTCATGTATTACAGACACTGTCTAATACCCCAGGCATTCAGTGGGGTTACAAACTCAGTCACATTCCTCCAAATCATTCCACATTGAAGGCGATTGAGAGTGAAAGTTGCATGTGTCCCATTTAACTCTTCATTCATATTAAAATGTGAGGATAAATGAGAATGTGTGAGGGAATTTTTCCCCTACCCTTCCGGAATATTCTGACCTCTAGCAGATATATGGGGCCCACTGCACATATACTTCACGCTGAGGTGCGATTTCTATTGATGGAGTGACATTGCTGCAGGAGAGTGCGTGGTAAATTCTGGCAAAGACTCCGGGTATTTGTTGGGATGTGTTTCAGTAGGCTGGTTAGTTGCTGATGGGCGCCATTGAACAAGGTGATGTGCAGAGTGTACTCATGGGTACAAGACAGTTTTTTGCCTCTACCTTTCTTTATGTTGCCTGACTCTGAGGCTGACTCCATGATCCTTGAGGTTGGATCAAGAGTCCTGAAGCTGATGCCTTGCCCTCTCACTGGCAGATTTGAAGTGGGCTTTGGAATTGGAAGCCCAGGTCAAACCATTGGAAACAGTGTGTTAAGAGTTCAAAGGTTCCTCCAATATAAGATGTTTGGTTCCTTAGAACTTGGTGAAAGTGCAGGGAATGGAGACTGAATGCCAGTGGCTTAGTGGTGAACAGGCAAAGGAATGCATCAGGAATGGCATGATTGTGAGACGCCAAATGGCCATCTTCTGTACTGCATGGGACAACATTACATGAGCTGGAATGAAGAACCAGAATTAGATTTTATTATTGCGTGTACTCAAATGTTGGAATTCTGAGCTCTGGTTTAGTTTACCTGAATTGGTGGGGAATTGGCCTGGTTTCACAACACTACTGCGGGACTGGGATCCAGCTGGTGGGAAGCTAAGGCTGGGTAGGGATCACAGTTGCAGAGGGGACAACCTTGTGTAGCTGTGAGCTCACTGTAAGAATGTACAACATACTTTCTCTCAGGTTCTGACCTGCTGGAATAAGCCCATACTGATCGATCAGGGTCCCCTGATATCCCCCACTCACAGTGCTATAATGTCCTCTTTTACAACAGATGAAAGGTTAGTCCTATGTTTAGCTTTTTACTGTCACTTTGCTGTTGATTTCTATCTCTCAATTCCAATGACCCTGTGCTAAATGTCTCTCTCTGTTCTAGGTTGTATGAAGAATGGGCTCCAGTACTCATCAGGAGCCACATATCGAGAGAACTGCAACCTCTGGTAAGTGTTATCTATTTTCAGCCACATTTAGTGACTGCACTATGCTGGGACATATTTTTGTGTGCTTGCAAACTGTGGATTGTAAAATGAATTTGAAATATAGAATGGTTACAGATCAGGAGAAGGTCATTTGGCCCATCAGTGTTGGTACTGGATCTCTGCAAGAGCAACTCAGTGAATCCCGCTCCACCTCTGTTCCCCATAGCCTGGCAAATATTTACACCTAGGATAATTATCCAACTCCAGTTTGAAAGCCTTGATTGAACCTGTCTCCACCACCCTGTCTCGGGCAGTACATTCTAGACCCTAACCACTCAAGACCACTTGAGGATGAGTGGCCATAATGTGATAGAACCCCTCATCAGGTTGGAGATTGACCCAGTTGAATTTGAAACTAGAATCTTGAATCTAAATTGAGGAAACTACGATGGTATAAGGCACAAGTTGGCTATGATAGATTGGGGCATATTACTTAAAGGGATGATGGTGGAAAGGCACTGGCAAACATTCAGAAAATGCCTAGGTGAATTGTTACAATTATTCATTGCTGTATGATGCAAAAGTAAAATGGGAAAGGTGGCCAAACCATGGCTTACAAGGCAACTTAGGGATCGTGTTAGATTCAAGGAAGAAGCGTACAAATTGTTTCTTTCTTCTGGCCAATAGCCCCAAGAAGTGCAAACAATTTAGAATTCAACAAAGGAGGACAAAAGTTGTTTGGTTGATTAAGAAAGGGAAAATAGAGTACAAGATTAAGCTTGTGGGGTGCTTAAAAACTGTCTGTAAAAGTTTGTATAAATATGTGAAGAGAAAAAGATTGAAGCCAAATGTTACTTTATGTCGGAAACAGTGGGATTTATATTGGGGAACTATCATATTCTTCTTTGTGAACACAGAACCAAAATTCCAGAAATGTTAGGGAACACAGGGTTTAGTGACAGGGAGGCACTCAGGAAGGAAATCAGTACGAACTGGGGAAATTGATAGGATTGAAGGCCAATAAATCCCCAGGGCTAGATAATCAACATCCTAGAGCACTTAAGGAAGTGGCCTTCAAAATAGTGGATGCATTGGTCATCATCATCTGAGATTCAATAGATTGTGGAAAAGTTCCTACAGATTAGAGGGTAGTTAATGTAACCCCTCTATTTAAGAAGGGAGACAAAGAGAAAACTGGGAATTATAGACCAGTGAGCTTGATGTCAGTAGTGGGGAATATGTTCATCTCTTTTTTCAAAAAAGAAGTAATAGCTGAGCATTTCGAAAATGGTGGCAGGATCAGACAGAGTCAGAATGGATTTATGGAAAGGAAATTGCGCTTGACAAATCTAATAGAATTATTTGACTATAACTAGAACAGTTGATGAAGGGGAGCCAGTGGATGTTATTTATTTGGACTTTCAGAAGGCTTTTGACAGTTCCACGTAAGAGATTAGTGTGTATAGTTAAAATGCATGGGATTGGGGCTGGTGTATTGAAATGGATAGAAAACTTGTTGATGAATTGGTAACAAAATGTAAATAAATATTGTTTCCAAATGGCAGGCAGAAGCTAGGGGATATTGCAAGAATCTGAGCTAGGACCCCAGCTATTCACAATATATGTTAATGATCTTAGATGAGGGAACTAACTGTAAAATCTTCGAATTTGCAGTTGGCTTAAAGCTAGCTGGGAAGGTGAGCTTTTAGGAGGATGCAGAGATGCTTCAATGTGATTTGGACAAGTGGGTAAATACATGGCAGATGCAGTATAATGTGGATAAATACGAGGTTACCACTTTCGTAGCAAAAAAAACAGGAAGGTAGATTATTATCTGACTATAAATTGAGAGAGGGAAATGTTCAATGAGACCTGGGTGCCCTTGTACACAGTCGCTGAAAGTAAGCGTGCAGGTGGTGAAGAGGGCAAATGATGCATAGGCCTTCATTAGTGAGAGGATTCAAGTACTGGAGTAAGAATGTCTTGTTGCAATTATACAGGACATTGGTGAAGCAATACTTGGAAAATTCTGTATCATTTTGGTCTCTTTATCTGAGGAAGGATGTTCTTGCTGTTGGGAGGATGCAGCAAAGATTTACCAGACTGATTTCTGAGATGGTGGGAATGACCTACAAAGAGTTAAATCAGTTAAGATTATGTTCTCTGGAGCTCAGAAAAATGAGGAGGTAATCTTGTAGAAACCAATAAAATGCTAACTGTGAGAAGGGAAATTTCTTCACCCAAGGAGTGAGCCTGTGGAATTCACTATCTTAGAAAGCAGTTGAGGTCAAATGTTGTGTGATTTCAAGAAGAAATTATGGTAAAAGCAGGAGCAGGCTATTGATTTGAGTGATCAGACATGATCATGATGACTAGTAGAGCGGGCTCAAAGGCATCCAATTTTCCTGCTTCTATTTTCTATATCACAGAATTGAACCTGCCTCAACCACACTCTCAGACAGTACATTCCAGACCCTAACCACTCTGTGAAGCAGGTTCTCTTCCTATCATCTTTGATTTTGCAAGTTACCTCCAATCTGTTCCCTGTGGTTCTGCAACCTTTCACCAATGGGAATGCTCTCACCCTATCTACTCTGCCCAGACTCCTCATGATTCTGTAAACCAAATCTCCTTTCAGCCTTCTCTTCTGCAAGAAAAACAGTCCTGACTTCTTCAATATATCCACGTATCTGAATTTCCTCATTGCAGGAACCATTCTTGTGACTGTTATCCGCACCCTTCCTAAAGCCACTCATCCTTCCTCCTTAAACTGCGGAATCCAGAGCTAGCTGAATATACCGAGTGTACACGAGGCATCACAACCTGGTGGATGCAGGAACAAAGAACCTTTTATAGTGTGTTTTGTGACCTTGGGCATCCAAAATGAATTACTTGAGTGCAGTCATTGCTTAAATGTGGGAAATATGTATACAGCAAATAGCAATGTGATAAAGCTGCATAAGCTGAGTTGTAATGTTGATTGAGAAATATTGATCAGAATAGTGAACCCTTTGGGATCACTTACATTTTTATTCGAGAGAGTTGATGAGACCTTTATGTCTTATATTTGAGCTGAAAGGCGTCTCTTATAGTGAAGTGTTCCCTCTGCTGCATTGAAATCCTTCTCTTCTATTTGTAGCCATACTCCTATCAGGAGATGTGCTGTCATGAAATGTTTCCCATTCATCTTTCACCATCCTCATACATCCACCTTAGTTTATCTGCAATCCCTCTGACCATCACCAATAATAGACAATCTAACCACCGTCCCTTGACATTCAATGGTGTTACCATCACTGAATACCCCACTATCAACATCCTGGGGGTTACCATTGACCAGAAATGCAACTGGACTCACCACATTAACACAGAGGCTACAAGGGCAAGCCAGAAGCTGGGAATACTGCGGCTAGTAACGCACCTCCGGACTCCTCAAAGCCTGTCCACCATCTACAAGGCACAAGTCAGGAGTGTGATGGAATACTCCCCACTTGCCTGGATGGGTGCAGCCCCAACAACACTCAAGAAGCTTGACACCGTCCAGGACAAAGCAGTCCGCTTGATTGGCACTACATCCACAAGCATTCACTCCTTCCACCACTGACGCTCAGTAGCAGCAGTGTGTACTGTCTGCAAGATGCACTGTAGAAATTCACCAAAGATCCTCAGACAGCACCTTCCAAACCCACGACTATTGCCGTCTAGAAGGACGAGGGCATCAGACATATGGGAACACCACCAGCTCCAAGTTCCCCTCCAAGTCACTCACTGTCCTGAGTTGGAAATATATCGCTGTTCCTTGACTGTCGCTGGGTCAAAATCGTGGAATTCCCTCCCTAATAGCATTGTGGATCAACCCATAGCAGGTGGACTGCAGCTGTTCAAGAAGGCAGCTCACTACCACCTTCTCAAGGGCAACTAGGGATGGGCAGTAAATGCTGACCAGCCAGTGATGCCCACATCCCACAAATGAATAGAGAAACAAAAATATGTCTTGACCGACTACGCCTAAGTCAAATCCTCAGTCTGCTGCCTTCTACTTTGCCTTCTGAAGGGATCTCTGCGGCTTTTCAGTTCTGATCAAATGGTGGAAAGCCTGATTTTCTTGCAACTTCAGAATGTGGTATCCAAAACCAACATAAAGTACCAGCCTTTTTGTGGGCAAGCACTGCCATGTCAATGTGGATTATATGCTCCAGTCTCTGATACAACTTGAACATTTAACTTTCTGTTTCAGGTGGGAGTGTTTCCGCTGAGCCACGCTTGAAACTACAACGTAGTTCTCACTGCTAGCAGCAATACCTGGCGCTTGTTGTGTTTCTTCTTTTCTTGTTGTTTTGACACTGCATTTCAAGAGAGCAGTCAGAAAGGGGACAAATAAGCTGATGAGTCTTGGGGCAAAGGACAGTGATTTGAGAGAAGGAGGAGAGCCCAAGGGGGAAAAACTTTGCTCAAAGGAAGAATGTAAGAAAGGAGGGTGGGATTGATTGAGAATATTAGGATATCTTCCAGGAAAAAAGGGAATGTGAGAGAAGCAGAGGGAGCGAGAGCAAAAGGCAACTAAAGCCATTGTTTACCATTTTTAAACAGTTTGGAGGCAAACTGCAAAAATGTTATAATTCTGAACTTTGCATTAGGGAGGACATATATTCTGAGGGGAAACTGCCATCAGACACTTAGCCTAGCACTGAGTTGCAAACTGGATCTCCTGTTGTTTTTGTATCATCAGACTTGGCTATTGCGGAACTGTATGATTTATTAGGAGGATTCGCAGATTGACAGGCCTTTGTGTGAACTGTGTTGATAGGACAGGTTCTCCTATCTATGGGCAGGGGGTTTCTTGTTCTGACAATCTCTATGATAAAGTGGCTGGGGTAACCATGTCTGTTGATAACAGACCACTGCATGTCAATCCACATTTGTAAACTGAAGTCAAGTTTCTCATTAGACTGTCTGGAGTGTGATTCAGTTCTTGGGCATGAAATGTAAACACCGGAATCTCACTTTACTCAGTCACCTTT